GGTGGTGTTTTGTGTTGTGATGTTGTTTACAATAATATATATATAATATATATATATATTATAATATATATATATATATATATAATATATATATACCACCCCATCCGAGCAACACAAAGGATCAATACCAAAATAACCCTAAACAAGTCTTGACCCCACTGACTCGGAGAGCCTTCCCGCCCCAGGTGGTTTCGGCGATGAAATGACACGTGAATTACTCGCAACACATCATCAGTCGAAAGAAATGACAAAGAAAATGCATTATAAGAAAGAAATGCATTATGAGAAAGAAATGTATTATGAGAAAGAAATGTATTATGAGAAAGAAATGCATTATGAGAAAGAAATGCATTATGAGAAAGAAATGATTATGAGAAAGAAATGCATTAGAAAGAAATGCATTATGAGAAAGAAATGTATTATGAGAAAGAAATGCATTATGAGAAAGAAATGTATTATGAGAAAGAAATGTATTATGAGAAAGAAATGTATTATGAGAAAGAAATGTATTATGAGAAGAAAAATGTATTATGAGAAAGAAATGTATTATGAAAGAAAAGAAATGCATTAGAAAAGAAATGCATTATGAGAAAGAAATGTATTATGAGAAATGCATTATGAGCATTATGAGAAAGAAATGTATGAAATGCATTATGAAAAGAAATGCATTATAGAAAAAATGTATTATGAGAAAGTAGAAAGAAATGTATTATGAGAAAGAAATGTATTATAGAAATGCATTATGAGAAAGAAATGCATTATGAGAAAGAAATGCATTATGAGAAAGAAATGTATTATTATGAGAAAGAAAATTATGAGAAAGAAATGCATTATGAGAAAGAAATGCATTATGAGAAAGAAATGCATTATGAGAAAGAAATGCATTATGAGAAAGAAATGTATTATGAGAAAGAAAATATATTATGAGAAGAAATGCATTATGAGAAAGAATGCATTATGAGAAAAGAAATGCATTATGAGAAAGAAATGCATTATTGAGAAAGAAATGTATTGATGAGAAAGAAAATGTATTATGAAATGCATTATGAGAAAGAAATGCATTATGAGAAATGCATATGAGAAAGAAATGCATTAGAAAGAAATGCATTATGAGAAAGAAATGTATTATGAGAAAGAAATGTATTATGAGAGAAAAGAAAGAATGCATGAGAAAGAAATGCATGCATGCATTAGAAAGAAATGCATTATGAGAAAGAAATGTATTATGAGAAAGAAATGTATTATGAGAAAGAAATGCATTATGAGAAAGAAATGCATTATGAGAAAGAAATGCATTATGAGAAAGAAATGCATTATGAGAAGAAATGATTATGAAAGAAATGAATGAGAAAGGAAATATTATGAGAAAGAAATGCATTTCATGTATATGAGAAAGAAATGAGAAAGAAATGCATTATGAGAAGAGAAATGTATTATGAGAAAAATGCATTATGAGAAAGAAATGTATTATAGAAGAAATGCATTATGAAAGAAATGCATTAGAGAAAGAAATGTATTATGAAAGAAAGAAATGCATTATGAGAAAGAAATGTATTATGAGAAATATATGAGAAAGAAATGCATTATGAGAAAGAAATGAAGATGTATTATGGAGAAAGAAATGCATTATGAGAAAGAAATGATGAGAAAGAAATGCATTATGAGAAAGAAATGTATTATGAGAAAAAAATTATAATTATGAGAAAGAAATGCATATGAGAAAGAAATGCATTATGAGAAGAAATGTATTATGAGAAAGAAATGCATTATAGAAAATTATGAGAAAGAAATGCATTATGAGAAAGAAATGTATTATGAGAAAGAAATGTATTATGAGAAAGAAATGCATTAGAAAGAGATGTATTATGAAAAAGAAACGCATTATATTCCATTTCATTGATTTTGTCATGCGTGGTGTTTTCAGCGTCCGTGGCGTCTGGTGCTTCGTCAGATCGTTATAATTTGGTCGTGTTTGATGTCTGTCTTTTGGAATGGAGTTTGAAGTGTGATCCGTGAATTGTAGAGATTAGGGGATAAAACAGGATGCCGTGGAGTTATTTGTTATTGGAATAGAGAGGATGATTTTTGTACCATTATAGATAAGACAGTAATATCTCATGCCTGAATATCCGAACATTTCTATCTATATAACTATTTGTCTGTTTAAAGATTTGGTATCATGCTAGTCTTCTTACTATCCGCTGGGGTTTGCGAGGATAGAGGATGAATCAAGCTATGCCACCTGCGGCCAGCTATGCCGCCCACACTACGTCTAGCTATGTCACCTGGCAGCTACCTGCGGCAGCTATGCAACCACGCCACGTCAAGCTATGCCATCCTCGCCTCGTCTAGCTATGCCACCTGCGGCCAGCTATGCCAACCACGTTACGTCTAGCTATGCCACCCACGCCACGTCTAGCTATGCCACCCACGCCACGTCTAGCTATGCCACCCTCGGCCAGCTATGCCACCCTCGGCCAGCTATGCCACCCACAACACGTCTAGCTATGCCACCTGCGCCAGCTTATGCCACGTCTAGCTACGCATCCTCGCCACGTCTAGCTATGCAGGCACGTCAAGCTACGCCACCTCCGCCACGTCTAGCTACGCCACCTGCGGCCAACTATGCCGCCCACGTCTAGATGTTGGAGAGGCCGAGTCAGAGAATCCAGACAGAGACAGAGAGAGAGCGTGGCTGTTCCTCTTTCTTCCTCTGATGCAAAAAAGAAGCTGCCATGAGACCAGCTGGCAAGGTGACCTCGACGGGACGGCCAGAGGTGGTGTTGGTTGGGGAAGACTTTGCTCAGTTATTATCATTATTATTGTTGTTGTTGTTGTTTGTTGTTGATTTTGTTGCTATCATAATCATCATTTTAACTATTTTTTATTATCAATATTTTATTGTTATTTTTTTAGGTTATCATTATCATCCTTATCATTTCTGATTGTTATGATTATATTTATTGTTAACTTTATTACCATTATTGTTATAATTATCCTTATGATCCATTCATTATTATTGTTATCATTATATTATCATCATCATTATTATCATTCATTTCATCATATTATTTCATTAATTTTATTATTTTTATGTGTTGTGTTGATCATATATCCATAATTATTATTATTATCATAATCAATATTATTTATTTAATCATTATTATCATTATTATGTTATTCATTATATTATCATTGAGTTTTATCATTATTAATCATTATCATTGTAATTGTTCAATCCTTTCATCACTCATGTTATTAAACATCATTATCATTATAACTATTACTATTTAGTCGTTATCATTATACATTCATTGTTGTTATTGTCATCATTATCATTATTTCTAGTATCATTATCATTACCATTAACTTTATTATCATTATCATTTGTTATTGTTATATTTTATGAGCAACACACACACGCACACACACACACACACATACACACACACTCACACACAACACACACACACACACACACACACCACACACACCACACAACACACACATCACACACACACATACCACACATCACACACACATACCACACACACAGACACACACACACATACACACACACGCACACACACACACACAACACACACACACACACACACACACACACAACACACACCGCACACACACACACACACAACACACACACACACACACACACACACACACACCACACACACACACACACAACACACACAGTCAGACACCACACAGTCACACAAACACACAACACACAGTCACACAACACACACACACACACACACACACACACACACACACACACACACACACACACACACACACACACACACACACACCACACACACAAACACACACACACACACACACACACAACACACACACACACACAGCACGCTAACACACCTCAATCGCAATAATATATTCAAATGGGAGATTAACAGACGTTCACGATAGTTCAGTGGATAGAGCGCTGGACTCCTGTTGTTGTTATAATCATTATCATTATTATTATCATCCTTATTAAATTAATATTAGTATTACTGATATTATCATCATTTTTATATATTATCATTATTATTATTATATCATCTCTCTCTCTCTCTCCTTTTCTCCTTCCTCCTCTCTCCTCCTTCCTCCCTCTCTCTCTCTTTTCTTTCTCTTACACACAATATTCTCAATATATCTATTATGAAATACCCAATTTTCAATATTAAGGCTAATCAAATCACAGAAACAAAGACAGTTTTATCGCAAAAAAAATATATATAACACTACTTTTTTGAAATAAAAGTGTTTATGGAGGCATATGGGTCGCCATCGTCAAACTGGACGGGAGTTTGGGTCGCAGCCAGGACCACTATTGGAGCAGTTGTGTCCAAACTGGGGTCCGCGTACCCCTGGGGTTACGCAACATAGTTCACAAGGGCACGTGAACAAACAAGGAACAAACACACATACACACATACATACACATACACACACACACACACACACACACACACACACACACACACAAACAGAAACATCACATGTTCTATGAATCATCTTTTTTTATTCGTGTATTCAATTCGAATTTATTGACCATGTCCCTGCAATGCAGTCTTTTGATAATTAGTATATTATTAGCATTATCCTAAATAAGATTGTTTAGCCATGGAGGACGGTGGCGGGAGAGGGGGGGGGGGGGCGGGTCAACAATATGCCCTACCGGTTGGGTGTTGCTTCAAACCTAGCCCTTGCAGCTGCCTTACTTCCTGGCTTCGTACCTTCCTTGCCCAGCCCAAGTACTTTCTCCTCCGGCGACCTCACCCCTTCGTCACGACCGGAAAGAATGGACACCAAAGAACATGGCACCAGGCACTCGCAGCAGAAGAGCAGTCGCTGGATATAAGTCGTCTCATCAGGCAGACCGAGAGAGAGAGAGAGAGAGAACAGCAGAAGCAGACCAGAGACCCAGCAGGAGCAGTCACAACAAGTGGAGGTCACCCTCCGCCCTCGGCACTCGGGGCACGGGGTCACTCTCGGGGGTCATGCCTTACCTTCCCCCCCCAAAAAAAACAGCAAGAAATTACCCTTTCATTCTCCACTGCCTCCACGCCCCCAAGTCTTACGCTGACAGAACGTAACTGTACAAGGTAATAAAGGGTACAATAGGCTAAAATGTTTGGACAACACTGTTCTAGAGCATCTAAAGCAGGGATTAAAAAAACAGGGTGCTTTGTGGGGCCAAGGAGCAATATGAAAATTGTGCTGTGGAATTATAATAGATCAAAATTCTTATCAATAAATTAATTTAAGTGTTTTTGAAAGTGTAACATTACGCTATTATAACTTACCATTCATAACTATTATTACGCTATTTATACTATAACCATTACGCTATTTTAACTATCAACACCTTACACTATTCATAACTACTAACAATCATTACTATTCATAACTATCATCATAACTATCAACAACCATTTTGCTATTCATAACAAATAATAACTGAATTTGAAAAGAGAACAGACACTGAGAGTAATACATACTCGTCGGGAACCACAGAAAAAAAAAAGTTTGAGACCCATTGCCTTAGGCTCTGAAGACACCAGCTGTCACATTACCGCCAGCTGTATTATCATTTCATCATTAAAAGTAATGAATAGCAACTCAGCCCTTTTTTTTGGACTTTGATCAAGAAGTTTTATAAGGAGTCTCGCTTCAGGGGAATCGGATAAGTGAATAATTTTTCAAATGACAAATACCGGACTTCTAAAATAATTATACTTTCACGCATTAATATTGTGAGTGACATGGGAGATAGAGTGGTATGTAATCAGAGTAATAGAGAATGTACGAAGAAAAATGAAGCAAACGAGAATAAAGAGAGGAAGAACGAAGCAATCTTGAAAGAAACAAAAAGATATGAAACAAACAAGGAAGAAGGGAAGAACGAAACACTCGAGAATGAAATAATAAAAGATAAAGTGAGCGTTGAAGAAGCAAGAAGAAAAAAACAAAGAGAATGAAGCACTCTAAAAAAAAAAAAAAAATGAAGCAAACCGAATGAAACACTCGAAAAAGAAGCAAAAAATTAAGCAAGAAGAAAGAAGCAAAAAGAATGAAGCACCCCAAAAAAGAAACAAAAAATGGAGCAAGAAGAAAGAAAAAAAAGAAGCACTCAAAAAACAAAACAAAGAATGAAGCACTCGAAAAAGAAGCAAAAACTGAAGCAAGAAGAAAGAAACAAAGAGAATGAAGCACTCAAAAAAGAAAAAAAAATGGAGCAAGAAGAAAGAAAAAAGAAGCACTAAAAAAATGAAAGCAAACAGAATGAAGCAAAACCAATGAAGCAATGAAGCAAACCGAACGAAGCAATGAAGCAATGAACCAAACCGAACGAAGCAAACACTCCTCGTACCTGGAAGCAGCTGTTAACAACATTCAATTACATTCGTCTTTCATAACCGCATGTCGTGGTCGCAGCATTAACATGTGATTATTGTGCGTGCGAGTATATGTGCGTGTGAGTGCGTGTGTGCCCGCGGGGGAAGGGGGGGGGGGGAGTGGTATGTGTGTGTGGGGGGGTGAGGGGTTGTGTGTGTGGGGGGGGTAGGGGTTGGTGGTGTGTGTGTGTGTGTGTGTGTGTGTGTGTGTGTGTGTGTGTGTGTGTGTGTGTGTGTGTGTGTGTGTGTGTGTGTGTGTGTGTGTGTTTGGTAGAAGAAATGAGTCTATATATGTGCGTGTCTGTTTATCTCTATGTAAATATATACACAAATAGGTATACGTGCAGTTACATACGCACACTTACATACATACTTTCATCAAGACACAAAAACACACACCCAGACCCCCCCCCCTCAAGGTTCCAAGTACACACACACACACGCGCGCAAACAAACACACACACAAAACACACACACACACACACACACACACACACACACACACAACACACACACACACACACACACACACATACACAGACCACACACACACACAAACACACACAACACAAACAACACACACACACACACACACACACACACACACACAACACACACACAAACCAAACAACAAACACACACACACACACACACACAAACAAACACACAACACAAACACACACACACACAAACACACAACACACACACACACACAAACAACACACACACACACAAGCGCACGCACATGTTCCTTCCTACTTAGCTACTTAAATATTCATCTTTCTGACTGTCTCTAACTACCGATCCTTATTTGGCAAATCTCATAAATAAATGCATAAGTCTAATTTGCATAATATTAACTTCAAGTCCAAATATCTTATACAACTATGCCCTTTCATTCAGAAAACACCATACGCACACATACATACACATATACACGAATTAGAGAGAGAAGAGAGAAGAAAAGAGAAATATATATATATATATATATATATATATATATATATATATATATATATATATATACATACATACATACATATATATATATATATATATATATATAATATATATAACAGAGAGAGAGAGAGAGAGAGAGAGAGAGAGAGAGAGAGAGAGAGAGAGAGAGAGAAGACAAACAGATAGAGAGTAGAGATAAACAGATAGATAGATAGATAAATAGAGAGAGAGAGAGAGAGAAGAGAGAGAGAGAGAGA